TAAAATTTAGTCATGGCTCTGCCAATCAGGAAGCTCTTAGAAGGTATGTTGTGTGGTGTGTGTGTGTTGTTGTTGGTTTTTTTTTTTTGGTTTTTTTTGTTACCGGGAAGAAGAAGGTGGAAAGCATCAGCTGCACAATAGTCCAGCTGCTGGTCATTAATGAGTTAACCACTGTATTTTCACACTGGATTTACAACTGATGAAATCTTGTGTTGCTAAAAGAATCACATGACATTATCAGCACAACATTAATTTGTTCTTGTTGACTATACATTGATAGCCAACTGGTGCTATTACAACCTGCCTGGGTTAGAGTGTTTCATTTGTCATTGACGCAGTATTATTGTTTGCTTGAAATAAATAAAACATGAATGCTAAAACTGTGTGGGGTGAATTTATTAAACCTATGCCCTCTTTATAGACGGGAAGCAAACCTTCTTAGTGCATGATGGGGTTTAACAACATTCGTCATCAGCTGTATCCTTTTGTGTCCAAATCTAGCATAACACTGACTCGAAGTCCTTTAAATAGATGAAGTCAAGTTGCTTTATCTCACACTCCACTACATAATTTGCCAGTAATCCATTTTTTGTATCTATTATGTATTTTTTGACTTGTTCATCACCATAATAATGTTCTCTGTGGCCATGAAGGGCAGCTCGTGGTGGATGTGTCTCGGTGACTTTGGGGTAGACCACAAGACCCTCTGTGATGTTCTGCAGTGTGCTGAGGATGATGTCTGCTGTCAGGAAGGACTCGGGCAGGGAGATCCTCCTGCACAGGAGCAAGGCAGGGAAGAGAGGAAAGAAACCATCAGTAACCACAAGTAACAGCTTTTTACTCAACCACTGAATCCTGAGTACCATTGTGCAATAAACACTGTATCACAATCATTCGAGTCTTAATTGTAGAGATTTACACCAACTCTGGACTCCATATTCATCAACACAATCTATCATGATGTCATTTGAAGCTCAGCCAAGCATGTCTCACCTATAGCTGGCTAAATGTTTTAGTTATAATCTCACCACTTCAACCAGTAATCTACTACTTCCAGCTGGTAAACCATTTAACAGCTTTGAGTGACCAAATTCACCTTTCATGATGTTTACTTAATAAATAAAACAGTGTTTGCACTTTTATCTTGCTTTTAGTTAATGTTAACCCATATTGCCACTCATAGCTATACTTTTAGCAAATCATACTTCTTTTTTTTTTTTTAACCACCCAGTCATGGTTTATTTAACCAATACCATTTTCAAATTTGTTGACTTACACTCAGGTGTTCAAACATTTTTTACAGTAGAGAAAATTTCTTCATGTAAAACCTGGCTAACACAGAAGCTAAACTTGAGCTACCTAATCCTAATTAAGAATCATTGTTCCCTACTTATTGTATGTGTCTACATTAACGCAACATCTTTTTCAAAGTTCAGAGTTATAGCATCATATCAAATTCACAGCTGTGTAAATGTGTCCGTAGTATCTGTACAGTCAGGACCTGGTAGCATGCACATGATTATTAAGACCTTCTTTATTCTCCGCAGACCCAGGAAAAAAGGTATTTTGATTTCGATTTTTTTTCCATATAAATCAAGTAGCGGGATGTTAAAAATCACATTGCAAAAACTTTTGTTTTTAACTAATTTAAAGTTTACAACATGTGCACTTCAGTGCACAGGAAGAGTTCATTGATCATGAATGTGAAACTAACAAAATTTAAGAGCTGGTTAAGAAAATTAAATGCTCCACTGAAATCTTTGTAAGCAGGATATTAAAACATATCGAAATAACAGCATCATAAAATAGTATGGGCCAGCTTAGAAGTCATTGACAGTTCACTAGCTGTAGGCCTCTGGTCTAGGAACAAATCATTACACTGGGCTTTCTATTTCACAAAAGTCCATTCATCTATGATATCTGTGGAAACACTGATTTTTTTGGAGACACAGAAGAACATTTGGTACTTCACACATCTCACATTTGTTTTACTGTTGCACCCAAGCATTCTACGCCTGAAAGGCCTGAAAGACGTGGACTGCATCATATTTTCCTACACTCTCATCTGGTTGGGGCTTCCTTTTCTTGATTTCTGGAGAGAACATATTTATCAGTCCCTCGGTCAAAAGGAGTTTGAACTCCAGGTACTGGGAGGAGTTCTTTTTAGAATTTCAGAGTTCTCTCTGAAGCCACGAGTTGGAGTAAAAGCTTCGCATGTTTGTTGTTTGTTTTCTTCTGAATCTCATTGCACTGCATGATGGTTTCAGCATTCTCTTGTCTTAAGGTAAGACTCACCTGTTTGCCCCGAAGTCACACAGGTGAGTTTGACATCCAGTTATGCATCCCTTAAATTTTGGAGTAGCAACAGTAGTATTCTTTCTTTTTTTCTTTTCTTTCTTCTTTTTTCTCCTGACAAAAACAAGACGATAGTTAAATACTAATGTACGAGGACAAAACCTGTGATGAAACTACCGCTGATTTAAAAAAGAGATGAGAATGTTCTACAGGGATGAGATCCAATCAGAATTGAAAGTGTGTAGAGAAGCGGGGTGATTTTAGAAGTTAGCCATGCACAATTTGATCTGTTGCCGACAAACAGGGTGGTGGAAACTCCTATGCTTCCAGTTTCTCATGAAAAGTTGGCTACCATAGCAGTATAGTATTGCAACATGGCATTTGGGTCTTCTAACTAAAATAGGAACATAAATAGCACCATCATTGCCAGACCTGGCTCACATCTGGTTGACATACACCCTGCCATGACACCAGTCAGTCAGAAGTGCCAGCTTGATGCCGGATCTGGGCCAGACCTGTTTTCTATGAGCCTGGGCCACATAAACCAAACCAAAATCGGCCAGATGTGGCATGCCATTACATAAACAGTGCCATCTACGGCAGGCCTAGCCCATATCTGGATGACATACCACTTACCATGCCAGAAGTCAGCCAGCAGTGCCAGGTTGACTCCAGTTCCGGGCCAAACCTGTCTGCTATGTGGGTTCAGGAGTGCCATGAGATGATCATGTTCAAGAGGCAGCAGCTGTGGTTAAACAGGAAGGTGGAGACCATGACCTGCTGGCCAGAATCCAGCGAGACCCCTACTTTGCACCCATTCTAGGGCAGCTGGATGCTTTGCTGGATCCCAAGACCTTTACTGGGCGTGCACCAATGCACCGATGTCTGAGGGCATCTGGAGACAGACATAAATAGACACTGTATACACAATCACACTCCCCAAGCATACTCTATAACCCAGTTGTGTGAAGTTGTGTGAAGACTCCAAACCTCCCTCTGCCTGCTCATATGTAGTTTTGATGCATGTGTGTTCTAAGGTGCATTTAAAACCCAGGAGGGCATGGAGCTACCTGCCCGAGAGCAGCAGGTAAGCGCATAGCCCCTCCTGATAGCCCTCAATGTCTACGTGTATTTAAAATTGAGTAATACACATCACATATTCTCCATAACCAGTGTGATCGTATTTGCTGAATGTGGTTGGAGAAAGTTGAGTCATGATTTTGATTGTGCAATGTCATGGAATAGCGTCCAATATGTCATGTCCTAGGGTCATTAGGGGAATGGTGAAGTTACTGAGTTACTATTTAAAAGCTAACAGAGAGCTACCATTCAACCTGCAATCAGTCATCCCTCATCACAGAGTGAGTACAAATGCCTCCTCTTTCACTCATTGTTACTCTAACTTAATGTTTTGGTGTTGTAAAACTGTTACTTTTAGCCACGTCTTCTGCTGTAGTCGATATGTTCTTTAATAGGTTTCTTTTTTACAGTTCAAACTTTGTTTTGTAGAGAAGGTTGCTTTGATTTTGTTGTATCTATCTCCACATGCTCTATAGCAGCATGCAGCTGTGGGCATTGCTCCCCGTCTGCCTGGCTTTCTTTGGCACTGCAGGCATTTGGACTGTGTGAGTGTTTCATTTCCTTTCTTAACTCACTTCTCATAAAATGTTTTACCTTATTTCTCAAACCCAAACACATGGGCAGTGGTCTTTACTCAGACCTCTTGTCTGTGTAAATCAGTACAGCAAATGTGGACGCATTCACAACCCATGTGTTGTGCTGGTGTCAATAAATGCCACTATTGGTGCCTTGAGGTTGAGCTCAGTCATGCCTCTGTGAAAAGCTGTGGGCAAGCAAACTGATAAAGACATAAAACATGCAGTATAGGTTATCTATAAGGCTTGTCTTCAGTTTAAAGTACATATTTATCTTAGGATAGGTGCCTTAAGGTACTTTATATTAAACATCTTGCTTCCACGCCTGCAGGATTTGCACTACATCTCTCTGTGAACTTTCATTTTGATGTTAGCTACACAATTGTTGATTAAAATATATTTTATAAGATGTGTTCCAATCTAACCAAGACCACATTAAAACTAAAAATAAGAAATATTACAAGTTTTTTCTTGTAGTATATGCATGTGTTAGGTACCCCTCAGTTAGTTATTTAGTTGATTACCACCATGTTGGACCAACTTTTACTCTCAGAACTGCCTAGGGTCTTCATGGTATAGATGCATTATACATTAGCTTTAGCTAATGTATAAACACACACTAACTGCAACAGTTTAGCTAATATAAATTATATTGCTAAAAGTATTTACACGTTTAGCTTCACATTCATGTGAACTTGACTGATATCCCATTTTTAATCCATAGGTTTTAATATGATGTTGGCCCACCCTTTGCAGCTATAACAGCTTCAACACTCTGGGAAGTCTCTCCATGTTTATGTGAATTTTTGACCATTTTTCTAGAAGCACATTTGTGAGGTCAGACACTGATGTTGGACGAGAAGCCCTGGCTTGCAGTCCCTGATCTAATTCATCCCAAAGGTGTTCTGTTGGGTTGAGGTCAGGACTCCTGTGAGGGCAGATATGTTCTTCCACAGCAAACTCGCTCACCCATGTCTTTATGGACTGTGCTTCGTAAACTGGTGTGCAGTCAAGTTGGAACAGGAAGGGACCATCCCCAAACTGTTTACACAAAGTTGGGACCATGAAACTGTCCAAAATGTCCTGGTATGCTGATGCATTATGAGTTTCCTTCAACGGAACTAAGGGCCTGAGACCAACTCCTGAATAACTATGCCATAATCAAAACCACCAAACTTTGCACCTGGCACATTGCAGTCATAGTCGTTCTGCTGGCATCTGCCAAACCCAGACTTGTCCATCAGATTGCCAGACGGAGAAGTGTGATTCGTGTCTCTAGAGAACATGTCCTCATGTCCTTATGTTACCGTATATTAAATTCTCTCACAAATGTTTGTAGAAGCAGTCTGCCTGCCTAGGTGCTTGATTTTTTCTACTCGGTCCTGGTGGTTTTCAGGTGTTTACACATCTGTCTGTGTGTGCACTGAGTTTAACATGAGAGCATGACAACTATAAGGGAAAATGACTAAACTTATCAGATTTGGGGATGACATTAAAATGAAGACTGTGCAAGAGCTTGGCATGGTCACAAGCTGATGTGCAGTTTTACTCAAGTTTGGGAATCTGCAATAATAAGTATGCTTGGCTTCTCAAACAGTTATATATGTATATAAAAAATGTTTAATCATACCCTTGCAAAGGCACAAACATTCAGCAGTCACCAACAGCCTTATTTCTTTCCATCAGATTTGCAGTAGCTGTAACAAATGGATCAGTCAACCTAACAGAGGGAATCCCGTACATCAGGTCGGTGTAAATCCTTTCTGTTCCGAGAGCCAAGTACAGAATAAAGGACTTAAACTGAAATAACGGTGAACTGGCAGGCTGCTGTCGTCATGTTCACAGCCTTAAAGGAACCTCATGATTCACTAATTTGTCTTTCTGCTGCTAGCCAGTGTGGCACTTACAACCCACAGAGCTGTCTCTTCTCCCAGGTCTGCAACATCTGCTGCTTTTTAGGTAAAAATTATTCAAATAAATATCCCAATATAGAGGAAGAGTGCTTGCTATCTGATTTCCCTAATTAGTTCATTTAAATTCAACAGCAGCTGCCATTTGTCAGAGCTGTAGTTTCACTTTGATTCTCTGCAGCTTTGGTCATTTTTCGCTCGTTTCGTAACCACCTTATGTCTGTGTTTCTCAGCCCTGTGGGTCGTGGCGATCCGTTTCCAGCAGGTCAGAGACTATGGTGATCACGGAAAAGGCAACATTGCCAGCATTGTTTTAGGATTCACCTCCTCCATATCGATCTCCGTCACCGGGAACTTCCAGGTAGCACTTTTATCTTGTGAACTTGTTTTACTCTGTTAAAGATTAAAACTTTATCTGTGAAAAATAACATGAAGATGACTGTATGCTAATCAAACTCTCCACTCCCCTCTGCTTGTCCTGTGTAGCAATCAGTTTTAATGATTATTCACACTGTGGGAGCAGTCCTGGCTTTCTTCCTTGGCCTGGCCTACTTCTGGGTACAGCTGTATCTAACTTATCGGGCTCAACCATCGCAGGACCGATGGTGGGTGGGGCCTGTCAGGGCGACCTTCTGCATCATCTGTACCGTCACGGTTATTGTTAGTATCCTTCCTGTCTTCAAACTGCTTCATGCAATCCAAGATAATGCTTTTGCCCATAGTAAGAATATTCAGTTGTGGAGAATTTTTAAATTTGTATTTATTTATTTATTTATTTTTTAATTTTTTTTACATTTTAAGAACATTTTCAGTTATTTTAATTTCAAAGAATATGTCCAGAATGAGCTACCTATTTCTATATCACCTAACTTCAAAATATATCTATTAAATTAAGATTTTTCTTTAGTTTTTTTTTTAAACTTATTGTTAATGCAACTATCCAGTTGTCCAACCACATGGTTGCCACTTAATGTATTTAGAAGACACGGTAAAGACAACCTGTAAAGTTCAAACTGAACATCAGAAAGGGGAAAAATGGCGATTTAAATGTCTTTGAACACTGAATTGTTGTTGTCGCCAAACATGCTTGTCTGAGTATTTCGGAACCGCTGATCTGCTAAGAACAGGAAACTGAGGGTATGATTCACGTGGACAACAGAAGACTGAAAAAAACGTTGTCTGGTCTCAATTTCTGTTTCTATTCAAATGGTCTGGTCAGAAATTGGCACAAATAACGTCAAAGCGTGGCCCAATTCTTCCTTGTATCAAAGGTTCAGGCTGCTGGTGATGTAATGGTTTCTGTTGCTACACTTTGGGCCCATTAGTATCAAATGACCATCATTTGAATCCTACAGTCTACCCTTTTTCACCATAGAGTACTAATTTTCACTTTATCCTACCAGTGCCATGTCACGAAGCTCAAATCATCAAAAATTGGTTTGTTCAACCAATTCTCTCAAAACACATGAACAATCACCAGATCTCAATAAAATAAAGCACCACTGCATGTTGAGGAAAGGGACATTTACATCATGGATGTGCAAATGACAAATCTGCAGCCACTGTGTGATGCTGTCACGTCAATATGGAAATCTGTACTATGAATACGATTTAAGCGGATAAAATGGGTCCAACCCAGTACTTGCAAGGTGTACCTAATAGAGTGGCCAGTGAGTGTTGATACGTTTGTTTTGACACTATATTTCTAGTGCATTGCAATAAGTGTTGAGGACCGCTGTAGATTCATGAAAAAATACTGATACATGCAGTATTTGCTGTGACTGTGGTTTCCCATTTCTTTGAACTTTTTTAAATGACTGAATTCTCATTGAGTTCTTATTGAACCGTGCTGTGTGTGAAGAGCTATTTCTCACATGCATTTTAAATGAACCCTCTCACTATACTATACAGGATCATACACAGACAGTGTTTGGGCTGAGAATAAACACTATAGTGTCTGAAAGCATCAATGAAGCAGCAACACTAGTGTTAGGCTTACTATTGAATTTACTCTGATGTGCGGTTGTTCAGCATCGTGCTCCTTAACTGCTCTTCTCTCCTTCAGTGTCCATTCTCCACATCACAGGCTTTTCCTCTGGAGCTGCTGCGTGTGAATGGATTCTGGTGATGTCGTTCTTCTGCCTCTTTGGCCTTTTTGCAGCCGAGTTCAGACACATTGACTGCCACAGCCTCACCGTACAGAAGCAAATGTTTACGAATGACCGCAGCCACGCATCAATAGAAATGAACGGTTATGTTATAAATACAATTAGCTAAAAACACTGTACTGGATCTGTGTGCTGTACACATGGTTCAGAATGCATTATGTTCGGTTATTATATATAGAACTGCTTTTTAATTTATTTGCATGTTTTCCATTTTGAACACTCAGTACGGCAGATCTGTTTCATGATCTATGACAGCATCTTTTGATGCAATTCATCATGTTTATGTCATTACTATCATTAGTAAATTACTTTACTATTACACAGTCAACTACCATACGGGCAGAATTTTCTATTTATAAATTTTTAGAAGAATTTCAAATAAATAACTTGGGTACAGAGATGTGTGTCTATCCTTTTATTTTTTTGAAAATGTTGTGAACGCTAGTTTTAGGTTTTGTTCTCGTGTTAAATACAGAAAATAGACAAAAATCAGGTACTTTAATAAAACAGCGCAAGTTGCAGTAAGAGCTTCATCCCATACAGCAATAACCACAGACTAACACATGATGGCGCTGTTTAACAATCTTAATCTGCTACAACAGCCTCTACATGATCCCTCTCTTATTATTTAAGCCACTTCTTAAAATCATTCATATACCCTCTTTTCCTCTCTTGCGTTTTCTTATTTTCATCTTCATGATGTGAAATCAACTGGTGATTGCACGCAGTGAAAACCAGTGAACATCAGCTCTTCTTCTGCAGCATTGTCCACTTGTCAGCTGGAGGAAGCTTTAAAAGGAGGATGGCGGTATGGAGGAAATGTTGAGTTATTGAGAAAACGAGAGAAACAAAGGCCTTCATATGGCGTAACACACGAGAGAGTACTGTAAGATACATTTAAAATGGTTCATTCTTGAGTTTTACCTGCACTTTAAACTTCCTTTTTTATAATTGTCAGAAACACCACCGGCCAGCGGGGGTGCTGTTGAGCATTTCTGGCTGCTGATCATTGGGCTGCTGGGAAAATGCACCTCTGGTGGCATGCCAACATGTTTTTTTGTAAGATACCTCCAATTTAGAAGGTTTCGCATTCACTGCAATTTGTCAAGGCTATTTGCAGCGGGCAAAACAATGAAGCTCTCATAGTTGATGCTGATAGTGGGAGAGGTCCTACTCTTGGCTCCAGCATGCAAACTCTTTCTCTCATCCAAGTTCTTTATTTATTTTAGAATATTATCTCAGGGTCTGTTGGTAACATCTTGGTCGTGCTTTGTGAACATCAACATATCTAATTTTGTTTGTATCTTTATTTATGTCAACAAAAAATCACTAGGGGTATGGTCGAGATGGGAATAGTGGGCCCCCGGTGTCCTGCTATGTTTCGGGAGCATTCTTTCACATACTCCACACTGTGTGATGTAACCAGAGGGGGGCTTTGATGAGCGGGCACAGGGAGCAGACGGACAAGCCCGGAATTCTATGGGAATTTTTCAAAGTGCTGTTCATTACCAGTGTTCCTGCTGCAGGCAGCATGCAGGGTTTGAACATTACAGTCTCATGTCCAGGGCAGATTAGAAAGAAGATTTAACTTCCTGACGTTACTCCAAAGTGCATGATTTAAAATAAGTTCACCCCTTATGCCGGTCTTTTTCTGCCTATGCTGAAATAACAAAAATGCTCTTGAGTTCTTGCTGCTTATAATAAGGAATTCAGAAGGAGGCCTTTTGGTGCCAAAACACCCTTAACCCTGCTGTTTTCATTAGTGAGTATAAAAGGCTCCTGATAAAGTAATAAAAACTCATAAAACCACCAGTAGCGACATGCAAAGACTGGGAGGCCCTTGATGTAAATGTCAGAAAAAAAGGTCTGGATCCTCTATTGTAATATGGGAGAACATGGTTTATGTGGTGCCTGCCTTGTTGCTTTTGACTTTGAGTCAAGAAGAAGGTAAGAGCGCACTTGCTCTCAAGGCCCGCGCTGTAATCTCTCCCAACACCTGCTTATGCCCTAGTCTGTCTTATCCTGGCAACACCTCTTGAGCAGAAACAAAAGCACTGCTTTCCTATTGCGGAGCGGAGTAGCTGCCTCCAAGTTCGCTATCAGACGCAACCGGCAACCCTCGGACGCTCCGGTCTCTCTTTAACGCTGGTCTTATCATCGACGAGCCAAATCCTGTGCACTTCACATCGAAAGGCCTGCTCTATCAGCGAGACAGCAGAATCTGCCAGATGAAGGCTCAGGGAAAGGACTGGGAGTAAACTGTTTGAGGAGAACGGTTGGTGAGTCCAATACATAGGAGACGGACACAGAAGAGAGATGGGATTGTCCAGAATTGAGAGATCCACAAGCAGATACAGAGACCTAGTGACAAGGAAGAGCGTCCCAGAAAGATGGAGTGTGAGTGATAAAGATGGAAAAATAAGAGTGGGCACCAGCAGCCATGATCTCACCCTCTGCTCCGCTCTTTGGCAACGTCTTCCAGAAAACTGCCCTTTCGCTGAAAAATGCCAAGTGCACCACATTCCAGCAGCCACACAAAGGCCCTCCCTCGTCTCAGCTGCATGGGCACAATCAGACAAGGGATAATTATATAATTAGGCTGGCTGGTGGCAGACAGGGACTCTCAGATGGTGTGTTGGTGTGTCATATTTACGTTATCAGACAATGAGGAGAGTTTGGCCTTATCAGAGGAGGCAGCGGCAGAATGTGTGTGTGTGGGGTGTGTGTGCTCCAGCTGCGGCACTTAGGACCAGATTGTCACGATAGAGAATAATAGTGGGTCGATAGAATGACCTTCACTCCATGGCAGGGCAGGGATCAGAGAATGTGATATGTGACGACGAGGTGGGGACTTTTTTGGGGGCTCCAACAAGCTCCATTCTCCAGGACTGAAAAATTAGGACAAAGTGGAAAGGCTAAAAATTGCAGTTCTTCGAATGTCTACTTGAAGCTGAGTACAAAAATCAAACCTTTGCTGCTTTTTTACAACCTGGTCTTAGATTTTTTTTAAAGGCCTTTTCTATGACTGAGGAATGCTGACCAGTGCTGGGTGTAACGAGTAATCACATTACATATCTCTGTAACACTATAATGTGAAGTTGCAGCTACTAAAAATAGAATTATGTTGTTACTTGAGAGGCACAAGTTTATCCATAGGGCTGTTCAATATAACGATATTTATCGGATGACGATATAAAAACATCTATCGTTTCATTTTACGTGGTGTCGCAAAATAAACTGTTTACGGCAATATTTTTTCATCGTTTTGATGGTCACTGTAGAGGCTATATTAATTTCTTAAAGTTCTCTCTTTCTCTTATATTTAATATAACCACACTACGGACGGACAAGCGCCTGTTTTTTTGCGTTGTCGTCAGCAACATAATCTTTTCACAATAAAGTTCAAGATCCTGTTGAGACTTTTCAAAATAAACGGAATCACGTGAAACAGTATGCAGAGTCTTTACGGATGAGAAGCAAAAAAGAGTCATCAGGTGCTAAAAAATAGGTTAAAACATTCGACTCCAGATACATGACGTCAAGCTGGAAACACTTCATGCAAGTCAAGCTGCCCGAGATTCACAGAATTTACAGAAAATGTGAAATTTTTGTGATTTATATCGTTATCGGGACGATAGATGTCTTATATCGGGATATGAGATTTTGGTCATATCGCACAGCCCTATTTATCCACAATCTGTTTGATGGGTAGACAAGTTAAAACTCCTCTGCAGGACAAAGATAGCAGAGGAGTAGAGATGTACACATGAGTTTGAATTTGTTTTGCAAAACAACAAGAATGTGACAGTAATATGCAAAGTGTGTGCAGAGCAAAAACAGCTATCCACCTCTATGCTAACAAGACACCAGCTAGCACCGAGCATTTGCAAAAGCAAATGTTACTATCCATCATGCTAACCCCAACATGGAGAGCAATGCTAAAGCTAAATGCACGTCAAACTCCATCAAGCAGTCACAGGTTTATTTTCAGCAGGTAGTAAAAGAAAAAGTTTCCTTCTAATATTGTCGGTCTTTACCTTACAATGTGAAGCTCCTTGATATGACTGCTGTTGTGAATTGGCACTATATAAATAAAAACTGTGTTGAAGTGTCACTTCCTAACTCAAGTTAAATGTTGCTCTTGTTTTTGTATTTAGAGCAAATAATAGTTGAATAAACACAGACACCGCTGTCTTTGCAGTTAACAAGCAAACCATCCACCAAACCTCTGCTCCAATTTGGGTCAATGAAACTTTTTGTGTTATTTGTATGTCACTGATTGCATGATGCACCTGTACAAGAATACGCTGTGCAAACTAAGGCTCAAGTCAAACAAGTCTAGACATTGGTCAGTGATCATCTGGGAGCCACCGACTGCAAGTGGGAAAATCTGTACTCCTCATGGAGTATCCTGACATTTGCTATGTGTAGCTGGTTGCTGGTATACACAATACACTGAAAACCTCTTGGAGATTTCTTTGATTGCTAGCAGATTGACACGGTCACCTGCAGTTTGCAAGAAATTGTTTACCTTCAAAGTTAAGTTACGTTGGACTTTTTAAAAAGTGTGTGTTGTAGCCAAAAGGTCCAACTTTTACTTTGAAGGTAAACAGTGTCCATTTCCAGTTTGCATCACGCTTTTTCATGTTTCACTAAATAGGCCTGTGGCCAGCAAATGTTTGCAGACGAATAGGCCTTTTCTATGCAAACTGTAGGTAATCATGGCAATTTGTTAGCGACCAAGGCAGAAAGATAGAAAGTTTTTGGTGCAGCAACCATTTGCAATCAATTTCATCTGGTGCCAGCCAATAATATCCAGCAACCACTCACGAAATATATTTTTCCCTAGTGGAGCTCACCAGGGTGTTGCCAACCAGACTTGAAGCCTGTGGCCAAGGCCTATGATTTGTAGTATTTGCTGATAACTCCAAGCTGTTACCCAATTATGGTCACTTATGGCAACAAGAATGCACGAAACAATGGCTTTCACCTAGTCTTTCCACTTGGAAGTTATCTTGAAATGCTGGGCATGTATTTGGGCAGTTATTTCAAGTTATAGATAGTTATAGATACTGATGGGAAATTTTTGAACATGTGGACTTAAATCAC